GTGTTTTGTAGACCTGCCCCAACAGATCGCCGGCGAACTCATGAAGGAAGCCGAAAAAAGTCTTTCCCTTCCGAATACCGAACCCAAGCGGTAAGCCTTTAAATTATGAATTTGGCCATGTCTCTGACATGACATATCTAAAACTTGGAATAACTTAAAATTGACACTAGAGTAAACCCTCTATCGATGCACTTTAGCTTCACTGACGACCTCGGCTTTTATCTGGCACCTAAATGCATGGGAGATAGTCGTAACGGAAGTGAAGACTTGTTCCTGAAAGCTGGTGAGTTGCAGAAAGTTTCCACAGAGCTGTCCTCGAAAAAGCTACAAGTAAATCCGCATAGCATATTGTTTGTCCGTGGCGTGGTAGTAATGTCCTTACACGTTTAGGAGACCGACGAGAACTACCTGAACTGGCTTACACGATGGGACAGTTTTCTCGTCAACTTCGCTGACAAACTGGTGTCTCCCGGCCCAGACCTCAAGGAACTCATTCGAAGCGGTGTGCCACATACATATCGGGCCCGCGTTTGGAAAAGGTCAGCGGTCAGCTACCAATTATGTTTTAAAGTTGTTCAGTAGGATCACTTGATCTGATAGTTAAGATTGAGGTTTGCGTAAAACTATGCACGGTTCAGTCTTTAGTGGAATCCACTGAGGTACTAGTTTCATTGAGCATTTAACGACCCTAAGATTGCGTGCAGTAATTTTAGACAGTCGCGCATTCATATGTGTAAAAGGGCTTTGAGAGAAACTTTGAACAAGAGTGAATATAAAAGTTTTAGGGCTGTTATAACAATACTATAATATAGTTTTTAACATATTTTGATAGCTCTCATGACGTGATCACATCGTGTGATATCAGAATATAATTTGACTTTAAATATTTTTGGATAAGGTGTAACTGCTACTGTTTTGTCACTAATAGGCAGATTAAGGTTAAGGTTCATAAGGTTATTAGGGTTATATTTAAGGTTCAAAGTGTGACGGCGAGCTTATGTATTGAAGCAAAAGTCAACACCCGGTTAGAATAGTGTGGTAAAGTAATATGCGTAATATAAAGAGCACATGATATGCCTGTCATTATTAGAAAGGGGCAAATCTTTAATTGAAAATCACTGAGTCTAGACATGTGCGTCAATGAACGTCTGAGAATCTTGAAACGACTTGACTGTCCAGGCAAGACTTCGTAGAGCATGCATGCCCAGAGGAGGCTGCATGCGTAGCCGCATTTGGAACAGAAAGAGCTTCGAGGTTATCATCTAATCACATATTTCCATCACTTTATTTCTTCATTATCATCAATATCACCGCCGTCACTCTCATGATCGTCTTCGTTATCTGCATCATCATCGTCCTCATTGTCTTCATTATCCTTTTCTTTTTCTCCTTCATCAGTTTGGTCATCATGAAAGAGTAGTCAACAGATAACGGTTACGCCAACTAGAAGAGTGCTTGCCACCTGGTTACGGCATGGGCGATGACATGCTTTGGATAAGCAGATTAATTAGATTGTCAGCTTTATGCTGTTATTTGCCTTTCATTGACAGCGAACTGCTTATCGAGTTTCACAACCTGTTCTACCAAATTCTGGAAGCGACTGGCAGTTGTAAAATCCGAATAGACTGGCAATGGCGAGACTGTGGCACTTTGCAGGAGAATAGCGTTTGGACATAGACTGAATATTACCAGTCATTTTATTTATTGCTCATGTTAAGTATTGCATGTCTTTCACGTCATGTTTTTTATGACAGTTTTTGTTTTCTATCTTGCAAACGTAATTCTACGGTTTCTCCTTTCAGTTTGATCGCAGAGCGAACGAAAGATATCATGTCCGAAGTAGGAACCGGTTATTTCGACTGTCTTTGCCGAATAAATCTGTCTAAGTCGAGCGAAGGCTACGACCCAGCGCTAAAGCAAGTTCGTTTCCAAAATGTTTTTCATTACTGTTTATTATTTTCTCAGTCACTGCTTGCATATAATTTTTGCTATAATTATGGTGTTTTTATTCATTTCGTTTTTGTAAATTTTTCGTCAGAATCCATTATTATGGGCAACGACCTGCCTTCACACGTGCAGGGATGTTTTATTTGTATACATTGTATTACATTGGCTGGAGACCACTCGGCGTACCCTTGGGACTAAAGGAAACCTACAGCTGCATGTCGTAATCTGCTATGACTTGACC